CGTGGTTTGTTTGAAGCATTTCTTTCATATATTGTTGCATTCTTTTTGATTCTTGGTTTCTATTTGGATGAACAACAAAATAGACAACAACAACAACAATCATAATCATGCACTTTTTTTTTATTTAAAAATAAATCGATTCTTTATTTTCTAACATCACTATTTTCATATATTTATTAATGTTAATTTTTTTGTGTGTGTGTGTGTGTGTTTTTTTTTATAAACAAGATTTCAATTGAAACACATTTGATGATTGCTTCATTTCATTCATCATCATCATTATCATCATCACCGATCAATTTTGAATAAAATTTTCTTTTTAAGGGGAAACAAAAACTTTTTAAAATTCGGAATCGATAATTTGATTTTTTTTTCAAAGCAAAAGCTGAAAACCAAATAATAAAACCATTAAAAGAAATGATTTATTTATTTTATTTTTTTTTTGTTGCAAAAATCATAATAATTATGCAAATATTTCATTGTTTGAGAAAAAAAAAAATTCTTCAGAACTTATCTAAGTGCGAAAAAAAACTTTATCATTTTGATTTTGGTTTCATGCGTTATCAGACGGCCGGTTGAAAAAAAAACTGTTTCATTTTCTCTGAATATCGGATAAACAGTCAAAAAAAAAATGTTATCTTTTAAATATCAACCATTTTTATATAATCAAATTAATTATATTGTCAATGAATTTGATACGAAACAATATCGTTTTAAACATTTTACATATCTTTTATTTTATATTTATTGGTTTTGTCGATTATCAATCGTTAGTTTAATGTATTTGAATCCGGAAAAATATCCATTCTTTGAATATGAATATGGTGCAAGATTTTTTTGGCAATATCGTGAAATTATTAATAAATTTTTCCTAATAATATTAGGATTTTTAGCATTTTTCAATCTGCTTACAATCGAAGCATTATATCTTCGTCCAGTTGATACATTAAGTTTTCAAATCCTATATGATTGTATTGTATTCAATACGGATCAATATTTGGAAAGTTTAGATACAATCGAAAATGTTCAAATTAAAAAATCTAATCGTTTTCAACAATATCAACAAAAATTTCCTAAAAATTATCCAGTATTATGGCAAATATTTCCGAATTTCATTCTGGGAACAATATTAAAAATCCGTGTTTGGCTTGATTCATGGTTAGAATTAGATCATGTTGATCGAAAATTATTTGAACAACAAAATCGTATGCGATTATTTCCACATGCATCATTCAAATGTCGTACAAATATTTTATTATTTGTATTATTGGTTGATCTTTATAATTATATCTTCTATTATATATGCTGTAAGTATTTACCAATTTCAGGAAAATTTCTCAATTTCTAATTAACTCTTTCATTTTACAAAAAGTTTTTATCATATCAATATCAGCAATTATAATACTTAATCAAGGTTATTCATTTGAAATGATGAAAAATTCCCTAATATTAAATATATGTTTAACAATCGAAGCAATATTATTTGTAAATTGTGCATTATTTATGGTAAAATTAACAATGTTAAAATTTGGTCTATTAATTTCACAATATTTAATCTATCATAATAATGTTAAACAATTGAATGATAATTTGGAACTATGTTTATCACCATCATTATTAACATGGCAATCATCAACAACGTCATCGTTATCAGTAACAAAATCTAATCAATGGATGAATATTGGTTGGAAAAGAATTCAAACATTAAAACATATTTATCGTCAACATAATCATTTATCCTATTATCTATTATTTACTAACCAGGATCGATGGAGCCGGGCATTATTCAATATGGTTTTAGTATCGTTACCAATGAATGCAACAGTATTATCTGAATTTATTATCGAACATATGCCCATACAAACACAATTTTTATTCATATTTGTTGCTTGTATACAAGGTTGTTTTGGTCTAAGTCCATTTTTAGCTATTGCAATAATATGTAAAGATTTTCATCATATTAAACAATGGATAACAATCATACAGTTACGTTTGAAATCAAAAAAACATTCAATACAGATTAAAATGAAATTTGATGATCTTTATGGCCGGTTAATGTTTGGTAGGAAAATTGCATTTACATGTGGTTATTTAGGTGATATTACATTTCATCGATTGTTTGAAGGTTTTCTTATTTATGTTATGATTTTTTTTCTTATTCTTGGTTTCTATGTTGAATCACATTAATCATGTTAGTTTTTGATTTTCTTGATTTCATTTCCTATATTACCCCCATCAATTTATTGCATTTTAAATAAATAAAAAAATTATTATTCAAAAACCATTAAAAGAAAATGATTTTTCTTGGTTAATTTTTTTAAAATTTAAATAACCCAAAAAAATTATGGAAATCTGAATTTGAATTGATAATTTTTTTGTTTCCTCGGATCAATTCTATTCGAAATATTGCTTAATTTTTTTTTGTTTCTTGAAAAATGTTTTTTCCAAAGAAAAAAAAAACTTGAAAACCAAGAATGATTTTTTCCTTCTTCGTTTCTTCAAGTTAAATTACTAGAAATTTCAAAATCATCGAAAAAAATTATGCAAATTTTGACAATAATAGGAAAAATTCCATCAATTTATTGTATTTCAAATAAAAATAAATAAATTTAAAAATTTTGAAAAAATTATGGAAATGTTTCCGGAAATTTTCGGAAATGTTTCCAGAAATCCTAACAAAACAAAAAAATATTGTTAATCAATATGAAACCAAGAACAGATAACGTTTTAAAACATTCATTTTTTTATTCAAATTTTTATTATTATTATTTGGTTTATTTGGTTGGTAAAACAACAAGTAAACAAATAGAGTAAAAGATAGAGAAAAACATTTTCAAATTATTGTAAATTGGATGTGTGTGTTTTTTTTTATCAAATGAAACAAACGATGATGAATGATGATGATGATGAGAAAAATGTTTTGTTTTGTTTTGAAATAGAAAAAAAAAAACTTTGAAGAAATTCGACATGAAAATCCATTATTATTACTGGTTTTGTTGTTGTTGTTGTTTTTTGTGGTAAAATATTTTTGCAGCAAGTTTGTTTGTTGTTGATCAGAAATCAGAAAAAAACATTGTCAATTACATTTTTGCAAATGAAAAGAAATTTCAAATATTATAAATTGATAGTACAAAAAAGAAAAAAAACACAATCGATAGTATCGTGAAAAAAACAATCGATTTTGTTGAATAAA